TGTGTGTGTGTGTGTGTGTGTGTGTGTGTACACTCAGTCACTGTGTAAATTGATGTCTTAATATGACTGCAAAAAAAAAGTAGGATAGGTAACATGTCAGTTGAGATGACAGAACCAGATTCCAAAATTGCCTGGTGTCAAATCCTAGTTCTGCCGTCCTCTGCTGTGTAACTTTAGGCAATTACTTCACCTCTCTGTACCTCCTCCATGATTTGTGAAATGAGGATAATAATAGTGCCCACCTCATAAAGTTGTTGTGGGGATGAAAGGAATCGGTCCGTGCAGAGCTCTTAGAACTGAGCCAAATGTACTCCAAGTGTGCAATCATTTTTGTTTTTGTTGTTGCTGCTGCTGCTGCTGCTGCTGCGGCCATGTTGACATGTTTGATGGATTCACTCACCCACATTCCTAAGCCATCTATGGTCAGTTAACATCAATGGTGCCTGTTTTTAAGTGCTAGTAAGAGGACTGAATGCAGTAATGTATGGGCGATGCTTAACACGACACCTGATACAAAGAAAGTGTTCAGTGAATATTATCTACTGTCATTCTACCACTTGGGCCTGTCCAAGGGGCAGAAAGAACTGAAACATTTTACTGTCTTCATTTCCCATATCCTGGGAAAGAGCCCAAATGCCCCTCCTCCAATCCCCAGTCCAGACTGAATGCCTCAGTGAGGCCCTTTGAGAATTTATCACCCTAACCAAGAAAAAAATGTCATTCATCCCTGGACAACCACACTAGTAGAAAAGAAGTTTGGTTAATCTGAAAAGCCAGTAATTGGTGAATAATTCATAGATTGTATTTATTATGTGACCTTAACTGACTATCAGCAAACCTCAGTCATGAATCAGAAATGTCATGCTCACTCATCTTGATACCCAAACCTCCTGATCTATGGGTAGCCAGGGGATACCAGAGGGCTGAGAGTGGAAGGTGCCCTTGATAATCCATCCAAGTATAATGGAACGCCAAGGAGAACAGGAGAAGGTCAACTCTCACTGCAGCTGGACAAATGGAAGTTGGAATTGAGGAAGAACTTCCCAGAAGCTCCAAAAAGAGTTTGTACTTAAGGAAACTTTCTATCAAAGAAAACATCCCTGCTGGGCTGGCCATCTTTTTGGAGAAGATATGTCAAACAAAAAGACCTTGCCATCTGGACATCAGTCCCTTCCTTCAGCCCAAGTGGACTTTGTGCCTGGAAAAAAAAAATGAGCAAAGTAGAGAATTTTATCATTAGGAAGTCCTTGTTCAGAGCTCCCTTAATTCCAGCCTTTCTGGTGCAGCCTGTTATGAGGTGGATTCCCCAAAATGGAGGATTGCTAAGACCGGATGTCACCTTCCAGCTGGGGCATTCAGGGACTCGGTGTCTGATATGATATGGTAGGCTGGATCCTATCTCAATTGGGAGGGGGAAGGAGGCAGTAAGGGAAGGAGGGAGATGCTCTGGGTCTGGCAGGGAAGACAGACCCTCATTCACAACAAAGGCCAGATGTCTGGAGATGGCTGCTTTCAGATGTTCCACCAGATGTTAAGGAACACAGTGACTCTGCCTGTGTCCATTCAGGGACAGTGTAAAATGCAGCTGGTCTGACTGGAGCAGCAGGGAGGGCTCCCGGGGAAGAGCGAGGATAGGCCTGGGTAAGGAGGCAGTCAGGACAGCGTTGGCAAAAGGGTGTGCCCCGGCATACTTCAGAGAGTGGGAGCAGGTGAGACCGGGCCAGGGGTGGATGGAAGGGGAGCCTGCAGGCCTTTGCGGGAGTGGAGGGGCCCGAGAGGTACTGTGACAGAGGAGGCAGAGAGCTGTGAAGCAGGGCCAGTGTCATCCTTGAGACTATTCCGAGACTGCGTGCTGCGAGGCAGCCTGTGGCCCTACATCTGGAGGATTCCAAAACATTTGCTTGCCAGGCTTGCTGGCGTCCAGGGGGCTGGGTCCTCTCTACCCTTGCAGTCCTGGCTGTCTGTGGGCAGGCCAAGTTCCACTGAGGGGCACTGAGGGGGTAGCAGAGTGGCTATTTACAGAACAACAGAGCTACCAAGCTGTCGCTGGGGGGTTCACCTCAAGTCTAGCCACTAGGCAGGCAGTGGGTTAGTGAACTGGGGAGACGTTCAAGGTAGAACCCTGCCTCCTCAGCCAGGAGAGCCCACCACACTGGTCAGTTATCCATCAGAACTCACCAGAGGGGAGTCCCATTAGATAGGGGGCAAAGGCCCTGGTAGGAAGCCTGGGTGGGGCTGGACACTGAGCTCTGCCTCCGAGAGCCCTCCCACCAACTAGGCCCCGAGCCTACCTCAGCCCTGGCCTCCGCCCTGCAGAGCTCACTGCTATAAATCTGGAGCTCAGGTTGCCCACCACTCCAGTAGGTCTGGACCTTGCCCTCCGTGCTAGGCCCCTTCCCTCCTCCTCCTCCCCTGCTCTTCCATCCCTGGAGTGTCCCCCTTTCTTCCATTATCCCCTGGATCTTCTCCCATTTTTCCTCCGCGGTCCCCCAATCATCTCTCTCCCTCCCATTCTCCCCAGCCACTCCCCGGCACAGGCCTCCTTTGTTTTTTTTCCAAGTGGCCCTTTAGAGTAACAGTCTAAGATTAAGCATCTCCTTCTCTCCATTTTCCCTAGGAATCCTCTCTCCCCTCCATGCCTCTCTATCCCTCCCCCAGCATACACCCCATCTCCACTCTGCCCAAGGCCTTCAGGATCCTTGCCTCCGTCAGCTGGCTCACTTTGTCCAAGGACACATCCCCCTCCCTTCACTCAAGTCCCAGCAAGGAACATCACCCCTCCCCCTCCCCACTCCCAGGAATGGGCACCCTCTGCTCTGCTTCATTTGGTCCCCACCCCATCCGACCACAAAGCTTGACAAAATTGGCCA